TTCGATGCCGGCCGAGACCATGTTGTTGCCGGCCATGAGCCCCGTGCCGCGCGTCCAGCCAATGACCGCGCCGCCGATGCTCACGTAGTCTTCCCAGCCTTCCGAGTGCCACTTGTTCATGAGCGCTTCGAGGCCGAGCTTGGCTTCGGCGTAGAGGCCGTCGCCGCCCATCGTGCCGTGGTTGGGCGAGAGCGGCAGCAGCGCGAGGCACGGCCGCGTCTCGACCTTGCCCGCCCGCTTGGCCTCGATGATGTGGCCGAGGAGGCGGTACGTGTTGGTGAGCATGATGCGGTGCGCGAGCTCGCTCTTCGAGTCAATGTCGGCGAGCGTCGGGCCCACGACCGAGATCGCACCAAACGGAATCACAAAGTCGAGGTCCAGATGCAGCGTATTGTACACGTGGTTGATGAGCGCGGCGACGTCCTTGGCCGACGCTTGGTTGAACGGGAGGAGGATGAGGCGCGACCCGCGCGACCCGTGGTTCTCGTACACGGAGCGGAAAAACTTGGTCGAGCGCGACGAGAAGCTGCTCGTCGTGCAGATGACCGTCGCACCGCCTTCGAGGAGCGCCTTGACGACCTCGATCGCGATCGAGTCCTTGCCGCAGCCGGTCACGAGCGCGTTCTTGCCAACAAACGAGACCCCCGCCGACGCAATGTCGTGCATGCTCAGAAGGAACTCGCGCGTGAGCGCCTCGTCGAGCACGCGGTTCGTCGGGTCGACGTGGTCGGGCGTGCGCACGTGCACGTACGGCAGCACGGTCGTCGCCGCCGACGCCTTGGCCTTCTTCGTCTTGCGCGAGACGGCCTGGAGACCGCGGAGCTTGGCGCCAGCGATGCGCGACCCGCGCTTGGCGTAGCGTTTCTTCGTCTTGACGGGCTCGCTGCAGACGCTGTTCGGGTCCGAGTGCGCGCCGCCGTCTTCCGTGAGGTCGGCCATCTCGAGGCCGCGGACGACGTTGACGGTCGCATGGCCGCCACCCAGAGGCGACGCCAACCGATCGCCCTCGACGCGGTAGCTAAAGCCGCGCGCGAGTTCGTCCACATAGTCGACCGACGTGTTTCCGCGGGGCACTTCGGTGTACACGACGTTGCCGTTGGCTTCGATCACAACGTGCGGCTGAATCGGCTGGAGCAGCTGGAGGTGCACCGGGTCCCGCGCGAGCCACTTTTCGACTTCTTCGTTGAGCAACGCGATGGCTTGGGCGTACTCCGAGTGGCCGTCCGCGTCGTTCCGCGACGCAAAGTACTCGGTGGCCGCGAGGAGCTCGGGCGTCGCGCGGTTGCAAAGGAACGGCTTGAACCAGCCCTGGGGCTCGCCAATCTTGGCCAACTGCGCTGCGTCCGCATTGAAGAACGCCGACATCTCGGCAAAGAACGTGTCGCGGTCAAACGACTGGGTCACTGCCGGCGTCGGCTCCTTGGGCGACAGAAGCGACTTGTAGTAAAAGTCGAGCGCGTCCTGCATGACCCAGTTCCACGAGCTGTCGTAGACACGCACCTTGTTGGCGTCGAACTTGGGCTGGATGCCCTTCTCGTACGTCTCGCCCATCTCGGACACCCAGAGGTCGAGCGCGGCCTCGAGGTCGCGGCGCGCAACCTCCTCCGCACTCGTCTTCTTCAAGCTGTCGAGCGGGTCGAACGACATGAACGTCTGGAACGCACTGATCTGGTCGTGCAGCATCGTCTCCATGCGGCCTTCGAGCGCATTGAGCGCCGCCGACGAGACACCACCGCCGCCCATCATGGCCATCATGCCGCCACCGCCGACTGCGCCGCTTGCTTTCGACGCATACGGGATCGAAACACCAGCCACCGTCGCGTAGTCGTCGACGACCTTGTTGATCCACGCCTTGGCGTCCGCGTCCGTGCCGAAGCGCGCCTCGGGCACGTGCAGAAGCGCGTGAATGAGCGCAATTTCCGTGCGGCTGGGGCCGAGGAGGCGCTCGGCCGCCATGAACGACCGGAGCTGCGACGCCGAGAAGCCGCCGGGGAGCTTGGCCGAGAGCATCTTGGAGACCGTCGTCGTAAAGTACTTGCCGGGCTTGCTGTACCCTGCGAGCTTGGGCGCGAGGTCGCCGAGCTTCATTTCGGCCACGCCATCGACAGCGCCGCCAAACTCGACTTCCATTTCGGCCACGACTTCGTTCTGGACAGCACTCTTGCCGGCGGCGAGGTCGTGGACGCTCACCGCGTCCGTGATCTCGGCCAGCGACTTCTTGAACTTGTGCGCAAGGAAGACCTTGAGCGCGTACGCGGCCGTGATATCCGCCTCCGGCACCGGGTCGAGTGCGACCGGCGCACCCATCGACGGCAGCATCATCATACCCGCACCCGATGCCGGCGCGGATCCGCCCTTGGCGATCGAGACACCGGCAAACTTGGCGTAGTCGGCGACAACCGTGTCCAACCACGACTTGGCCGCGGCTTCATTGGCATGGCGCGACGCCGGCGGGAAGAGGAGCGAGTGCATGAGCACCGAGTCGATGCGACCCGCGCCGAGACCAAACGCAGACGCAAGGTACGACTTGACTTGCGAGAGGTTGAAGCCACCGGGCATCTGCTTGCGCACGTAGTCGGTCGTGAGCGCACCAAAGACCGCGCCAAACGCACTGTAGGCCTTGAACGACGTCGAGAGCACTGAGAGCGGCAGCTCGGGCACGCGGTCGACGCCGCCACCAAACTCCTTTTCGAGCTCGCCAACGACTTCGTTCTGCGCCGCCGACTTGCCGGCCGCGAGCGCGTGGATCGTCGTGTTGTCGTCAATCTCGGCCAACGCCTTCTTGAAGCGGTACGCCAAGAAGACACGAAGCACATGGTTGACGCTGATCGGAGCGTCCGAGACCGCGGCCGCCGCCACTGGAGCCGGCGCCGCGACGACCACCGGCGCCGCAACGACAACCGGTGCCGCCTTGACTTCTTCTTCGACTTGCTCGACGACCACGTCGTCTTGCGCCGGTGCAGCGCGGGCCGACGCCTGCGCCGACGCGTACTCGACCGCCGATGGGTGCTCCGACTCGGTTTCGTAGTAGATGACGTCGCGGTCCTTCCCGATGAAGAGAATGTCGCACTTGGCCGACGGGAACTTGCCGCTCGTCAGCGTCTTGGCCGCCATGCCCGTGAGCGTCGAGGACGGACCAATTTCGACAAACCGGCGCAGTCCGTGCTTGAAAAAGTACGCCTGCGTCTGAATCCACTGCACGGGCGACGCAAACTGGTACGCGAGCAGCTCAATCACGAGCGTGTGCACGAGCTCGTCGTCGGGCGTCGCGCCCCAGTTGGCCAGAATCGGCGTCAGCGACGGCGACCCGGTCAGCGCGACGATCTCGGCCACGTACTCCTTCGTGCACGCAAACGGCTTGGCGACGAGGTTGGGCACATAATGGTGCTCGAGCAGCGCCTTGTTCTGGTACAAAATCTCCTTCTTGAGCTTCGGACGCAGCAGATTCCGGAACGCGGGCACGCCACCGAGCAGCTTCTTCGAGTGGAAGGGCACGTCAATGCCGAGCAGCGGGATCGTCGCCGTGCCGCGCTTGAGACCGAACGGCTTGCCCTTGGCGAGCGAGAGCTCCTTCTGCGCGCGCACGAGCGCCAGCGTCTCGGCCACGAGCGCCTCGGCACCGACCGCGTTGTAGATGGTCGGCTGCTCGCGGATGCGCGTCATGAGGCGTGAAGCACTTCGAGGTTCACGAGCTCGCCGGCGACGACGTACTGCGTGTCCTGCACGTTGTAGTTGACCACCTGGCAGAGCTCGCCGGACGCCTTTTCAATCACGTCCAGCAGCGTAAAGAGCGTCGTCTCGTCAAAGGCGCGGGAGCCAACGCGCGCCGGGTTGGCGGCGACCATGCCATAGTCCGAGAGGCCGTTCGCGTCGCGCTCGACTGCGTTCTGCATGACCATGCCGCGGAGGAAGACGACTTCGGCGAGGTCGGCGGTCGCAAGCACATCCGCAAACGAACTCAGCGCCGCGTACTCGCCGAGCGAATGGCCCGCAAAGTAGCACCCGTCGGCAATGACGCCATGCGCCTTCGCCTCCGTGTACGTGGCCTTCTCCATGAGCACGAGCGCCGGCTGGCTAAACTGCGTCGCAAAGAGGAGGCCCGTCGGCGCCGAGAACGTAAAGCTCTGCGTGTGCTGCGTGATCTCCGGGATGAGCGGGACGACCTCGTTGCCCTTCTCGCAGACGAGCGCCATGTAGTTTTGGCGGATCGCCATGCCTTTCCGGCCGCCAAAGTGGATCGTGAGGCTCTTCGGGTTGGTGCGCACAATGTCGAGGATCGAGAAGCCAAACTTGGCCATGAGGTGCTTGTCACCGGCGTCCCACACCTCCTTGACGACGGCCGACGCAGCGTACGCTTGCATGCCCATGCCGACCTCGGCCGAGCCCTGGCCCGTAAAGACGAACGCCGTGAGCGGCATTGGCACGGACGCGGTAGCACCAAGAACAGTCTCGCCACGCAAATTGGCCACGTTGACCGCGAGGAGCAAGTGGCCCTTCGAGACACCCGTCTGCGTCACCTGGAGGAAGAGCTCGTCGTCATTGGCGACCATGCCCTTGAACTCGGCGTGGTACGACGTGAGCTTGGTCACCTGGAACTGCGCCTCGAGCGCCTCCATGAGCATGTTGCGGACCTTGGTCGCGGTCCACATGCCGTGCATGATGGGCCGCGAGGCAGGCAGCCCCGCGAGCGCCGCCGCGTAGCCGCAGCGATGGATCGGGTTGAGATCGCGCGACGCCTGCGCATACGCCAGCGCGTGCGTCGGCACGTGAATCGCCAGCGGCGTCTCCAAGAGGTTGGCCGACGTCTTGGCCGGTGCCGCCGACGACACCCCCGCACGGTCCAAGTACGCGGCAATCGGGTCTTTGGCGACGCCCGTCTGCACGAGATAGACCGACGCAACGACCTCGTTGAGCGCGGGGCCGGTATATACCTTGCCCTGGACGTCGAGCGACGCGAGCGATGACACGCCGTCAGCAAACACGTACGACGCGTGGAGGTCGAAGCGCAGCGTGTCCCCACGACGAAGCGTCTTGCCCTCCGAGAGCTTGAACCACGGCTTGTCGGTGAGGACGGCGATCGCCGCCTTGTCGGCCAAATGCACGTTGCCCGTCAATGGCTTCTTCTCAAACGTGTGCGCGTGGTCTTCAAACTTGCCGCGGATGAGAAACTCGCTCGTGACACGGACAAAGTCGGCGCCGTTGACGGCGACCGCCACGACACCCGTCACGACCTTCCCGGACGGCGTGTTGCGCATGGCCGTGACGTAGCCCGTCGACGCGACGACGTCATTGGCGCGGAAGACTGCGTCGCCCTTCGTGACCACGTCGTACGCGTGGCTGAGATGCACGAGGCGGAGGAGGTCGCCTTGGATCTCGGTCGCAAAGACGGACGCGATCAGAGGCTGCCAGCCCGCGACCGTGCTAAAGTCGACCGGCGCGGTGTCGCCGACAAGACCCAGCGACGTGTTGTAGTCGGCGATGTCGGCGGCCGTGACAGTGAACGTCGCCTTGTGCGTCGCGTGGATGCTCTGGCCGAGCGCCGCCTTGCAGTCGCTGAGCGAGTTGCCGAGCCAGTGCTGCGCGTAGAACGCCTTGATGTTGTCTTCGCAGACGCGCGTACGCAAGTGAATCGGCGAGATCGCAATCGTCGGCTTGTAGTCGTACAACCGGTCGAGCGACACGACCGTCGCCGTCCACTCGCGCGTCGACGGGCGCATGAGGTTGACGCGGAGCGTAATGACATTTGCCGCACACGAGAGCTCGACGACCGGCGCCGCGTCGAGCACCGCCTTGTCGCGAATCCGCAACGCCACCGGCGCGTCCGACGCCAGTTCGAGCTCGACGACCTGGCCAAGCTTCGGCGCCACGATCGCAGCGATCGAGTTGGCCACCCACTTGCCGCTCGAGACGACGTGGTCGGCGGTCAAGAGCGCGTGCAGCCAGTTGCGGCTGCCCGAGACAAGGCGCGCGAGCTCATTGACGTGCGCCGCCGCGTCGACAGCCTCCGTGATGGTCTTGGTGACGATCTTCTCGGCGCGGGTCCAGCCCTCGACCGCAACATACGCGGCCGCCGACGTCGGCACCTTGGGAAAGTTCTTGGCCACCATCGCCTCGACGACGCCGTTGCTCATGCCGTAGAGAATCTCGCCGACGGGCTCGTTCGCCTTGGTGATGTGGTGCACGGCGACGGGCCCCTGGAGGATCATGACGCGACCGGCGTCCTGGTCGACCACCGCCTCGAGGTCCTCCGAGTACCACAGCGAGTCCTTCTTGAACCACGTGACGAGCTCGCCGTCAATCACTGGGATAAAGTTGACCGGCTTGCCGCCAAACTTGCACAAATGCAAGAAGAAATCGACATCGTCGATCGAGAGGAGCGACGACGCCGAGGCCGGGTACGCCTGCTGGAACGCGACGAGCAGCGCCGACGGATTGCTCGCGAGCTGCTTCGCGCTCTGCACCACGAGCTTGGACGATGTCGTGGCGCGGCCAAGGAACCGCTGCTCCGCACGCTGCAAGAACGAGAAGACGCGCGTCATGAACGTCACGTCGATCCAGCGCGACGGCACGTACATGAGGCTCACCATGCGCTGGAGCACCTCGAGGTACGTCATGCCCTCGAGGTCGACGACGTCGCCGTTGGCCTTGCGACCAAAGTACGGCTTCTGGAAGTCGGCGTTGATGCGCGCAATGATCGCCGCCTTGTCCGAGAGGATCGCCTGCGTCGCGTCCTTCATCGGCAGGCTAAAGTACTTGCGGTCAAAGTCGCGCCAGCACACCGCGCCGCGGTTCTCAATCTTGTGGATCGGTTCGCCGAGCTCCGACTTGAGCGTAATGACGCCGCCCGCCGACCCTTCGTAGGCCACCTCCCAGTCGGCTTCGTTGGCGATACCAGGCGTCGAGACGAGGAGCGCCTTGACCGCCTCGGCCGTCGCGGCCTCCTTGGCCACCATGACGCGCGACGCAACAAGGATGCCGTCGCACGGCATCTTGACATCGGCCACCGCGACGCTCCAGTCGCCCGTGAGGTACGGGTATGACTGCGCCGCCGAGCCAAAGCCCGAGCCGACGACAAGAAGCACGTTGGAATGGCGGCGGATCTCGGCGTACGTCGCGAGCAGCGGCGTGTGAAAGTCCTCAAAACTGTGGTGGCCGCCCGCACGGCCGCCAGTCCACTGCACGACGATCGTCGCCGCCGGGTGGCGCGCCGCGATCGTGAGCACTTCGCGGATCGACGCGATCGAGCTCGGCTTGAAACTAATGACCTTGATGTCGACCGAGAGGAGCTCGTGGAGAACGTGATCGGCCTTCTCGGGCGTCGGGATACCCGCGGCGACCGTCACGCCTTCGATCGGGATGCCGTCGAGACGCATCTTCTTGATCATCGGGAACTGGAACGCCCACTGCTTGGCGTTCAAGTAGAGCAAGTTGAGGTAGATGCCGTTGCCCGGTGTAAGGCGCGAAACGAGGTCGTTCACCTTGGCCTCAAAGAGTCGTCGGGCGCGGAAGCCCGCCGCACGCGAGCTCGCCAATGTAGCCGCTCTCGAGCGCCGCGGCCACAAGCGGCACGCCGTTGTAGCTCGTCGTCGGCGTCATGCCGCCAATCCAGATCGGCTGGCGACCCAGGCGGTCCGTGTACGCGTTCTGAAGGATCGTCTTGCCCGACTCGGACGTCGCGAGGCGCGGGCCATACGTGGCTTCCCACGACGAGCGCAAGAGAGCCGACGCGGGCTTCTCAAGGTACGCGAGGCCTGGCACGGTCGCTGACCCCTTGTGCGCGTGCGTCGGGACGAGCACGGTCACGCCGTGGCCTTCCAGAAACGGGGCCGTGAGCGGCGACGCGCCCCGCGCCGGACCAAAGTCGAGCACGTGCGTAAGGTTGCCCAGGCGCTGGAGAGCCGAGACGGTCGTCGGCCAAAGCGCGGCGTCCGAGAGCTGCATCGCGACCACGTCCGGGAGAACGTCCTTGGCGCCGTACGACTGCAAGTTGACGGCCGCCGCGTTCGTGCCAAGGACGGGAAACTGCAGCGCATCGCCAGCGATGGCGAGCTCGAGGCGGTTGAGCTCCTGCTGGATGAGCGCCTGCGCCGGCGTCAGAATCGTGTTGTGGAACGCGACCGAGACAGGTAGCGGGATCGTCGAGATCTGCGGCTTGCGCTGCGAGAACGGAACGCGGTTCTGCGCGTCGTCGCCGGCGCTCATCTTGTGTAGCGCCGCTTGGAGCAGCGCGAGCGCGTCCGGGTGGCCCGTCACGACGATCTTATCCTTGTCGTTGACGAGCGAGAGCTGGAGCGCGCGCGCGTCCTTCAAGCGCAGCTTGGCGTTCGTGCCGTCGACAATCTGCGTCAGCTTCTCGACCGGGAGGCCGCGCACGAGCAGCATGGGCGAGACGTCGCCGGCGTTCGAGACGTTGCCAAACGTCGCCTGCGCATGCACGCCGTGGAGAAACATGTAGCGCACAAACTGGAGGCCAAGCGACAGAAGCGAGTCGTGCGTCTTGGCCGCGGCCACGAGCACGGCCGTCACGACGCCCTGCGAGTGGCCCGTCCCGGCAACGATCTTCCGCAGAAACTGCTCGTGTGTCACGTGCGCGGCTTCGAGGAACGCGAGGTAGTTGGCAAACTGCGTGAGCATGATGAGCGGGTAGCTATAGGTCGCCGATGCGAGCGCCGCACTGGACGGGCGCGTCGTCGCGTCCGTCGCCCACAAGAACGGATGGATCGTGATGCCGAACGGCTTGGCCTCTTCGACGAGCGCGGCCTGCGCGGCTTCGATAAAGGACGCGGCCGCTGGGGACTTTTCGAGCAGGAGCGCGAGCTCGTCAATGTAGGCGTTGGCCTGGCCGCCAAAGGTCACGGCGAGCCGCGTCGCCGGCGAGGTCACAAGGGCCGGCGGCGTCATGGGCGTCGAGGTCGAGGTTGTCATCGAGGTCGTCGTCGAAGCCATGGTGTGTCTAGTCAGCGTCCGTGGTCAGGGGGCGCGCGCTAGACGAAGGAAATTGCAAAGTAAGAGCCACCACGGAGTCCGTTTTCCAGGATTTCCGACGCCCCGGGAAGTCGGACGCCGGCGTCTGATTGGTCCACATACAAACGTCAAGTGCAAGACCGGATGCGCCTCCTGCACCGCCCTGTAGCCTCTCTATTCGTATATTTTAGCGTGATGGTTTGTACAGAGGTATCGGATATTACAGGTCTCTGGAACACGGTTCTAGCCTCTGACGCGATCGAAAGGCCGTGTCTATACGTTCTGAGAGGTCCTCTTTGGACGCCCGATTACGAAGGCTTTGGGAGGGCTAGGGTGTTGATGCATCGAGTGGTGGTCATCGGTGCGGTGGCGATGACTTCAGCAAAGCGACCAATCACAAGACCGCATCTCTTTAGCGCCAATCAGATCGCGCTGTGAAATCGAACCGCACCGTCTGACGCGGGTGCGCACCTGGCGTCTGTCTCGCAACGTACGATGTACAGTGTATCTTCGCTTGATGTTTGTATGTGGTTGTACGTACTGTATGGTACGAGAGGGCGTCCCATGGATGCGACCTTGAGAAAGCCGCCAAGATTCTGGCGGACGCTATTGGTAATCACATGGCGGGGATGGGCAGATGGAGGACAATGGAGAATGTATACTGGCCGACCGGCAGCCTGCAGGAGGAAAGACGCCGATTACGTGCGATTGTCTTATTGGCCAACGTATAGGTAAACTATCGCGCGACGTGGGCCGTGCCATGCCATGACGCAGGATGCTGAGGGATCGTGTGGCTGGAATCTTTCCACGAATCTGGTCGTGTCGTCGTCATGGGGGCACGGAACGAGGTGGTCGAAAACGGTCCGGCGACACGTGTCCAATGACATCAAACTATGCATGGTCCACGGAGGTTTCGTACTGCGATCTGGTCTACCGTTGCGTGTTCTTGTTGTTGAGCGTTGAGGGTTGTTGGTCTATGCACGCGGAACGATGTGTTTATGGGACCCAAAACGCTTCGGACACGGTCGTTGGCAAGTGGCACCATGACGCGATGCCTCGTGGTAGATCGACCTTCTCAGCGTGCAACGTACGAGAAACCTGAGTAGTAGCGTGCTTGCCTTGCCCCCACGAGATCTTTCAAGCACGGGCGTCGTCGTCTTCAGAAGCATCGTCATGGAATTGGCCCGTAGCGTCACGGGCGGTCGCCATCAACATCGTCGAACACCTTGGTCGGACGACCGCATTTGTCGATTGTCAAAGATACTCGCAAGCGACGAGCACCGATGAACGACCATGTTTAGGAAAGTCGCAGCGTCGTGCATCGACCCCATTGCTTTTTTACGCTGTAGCAGCAACGCCGATCGACGTTGGCCGCTGAAGAGAGCGCAGGTCGCAAGCCCGCACGACGAGTTAGAGCTCGAGTTCGTATAGTCCATCGCTTCAACGATCCACGCCGCTTGGGCATTCGGTTCTTGTGGATTCCATGCCAAGAGCACGTGCAGCAGCATCGACTCGCTCGTTCAGACGGAAGTCCTCGTGACCTGGTCCCTATGAGGACCCGAGAGGGAAAGGAAATCCCCATGTAATGGATCGGAGACTGTGAACTTCGCTCGACGAAGCTGAGGGGCATTTGGAAAACAAACGACGACGCTTTCAGTGGCCACGACGTCCTCTCGACTAGTGTTTCCTCGGGGGTCGTCTTATGATCTTTTTGTTCGCCAAGACATGATGGACGGCAACGCAGCCGTGGAATCCCAGGTTGACGTTTGGCAAGCCTACACCAGTGAGCCTACACTGACGTGCTAGCTAATAGTGTCCCTGTAGCGATTCGAAAATGCTGCAACGAAAGAAGTCGTGCAGTGCTGCGGTGACCCATCGTTGCAGCGGAGTCGTGCTCCCTTCGGCTATACCAGGATCGTGACTACACGACACCACACATGCAAAGGAAGTGCTTGGCTGGTTGGCCTCCGAAAGGCGCCCGAACATGCAAGTATTCAACGAGTGAGGCCAAAGGGGTCGCTAGCAAGGCAGCGTGCCAGCGAGGAGGGTACATCCAGAACAATCACCGCACGCTGTGACACGTCACCCACGTCAGAGGGTCAGAGGGTCGGACAAATGCTCTTGCAATGCAGCTGCTTGCAGCAGAGGTCAAGGCATCATCACCTCTGCGGAGCGGTCGAGCCTGCTGGCTTCTGCTCGACCTCTGCGTCTCTGCCACAACTCAAGCAACGCACGTTCACATACTATAGTTAGTTGCTGTTGCAAGCAGACCATTTACTGCGCACGACTAAGAAGGACGCGACTAAATAGAAAAGCCGTGCGGCGCGGCTTTGGCTCCGTCTTTGAACTCGGGATATAAATTAGTGGGCGCCTCGAGGAGGCGGACGACGTCGCTGCGCTGGTCGTCCGAGAGGAAACCGAGGAGCTTGCGCACGAGCCGGTCGTCGGCGCCGAAATCGGTGCGAAACCACTTGCACGACAGCGGCAGTTGCAGCGACACACTGCCCACGACGACGCGCGCCTGCCAGTACGAAGACACGACCGAGTTGAGCTGGTCGTGCACACGAGTCGGTGCGTAGACCACGACCACCTTGTCGTCGCGATGGCTGCAGAGCGCCGCGCTGAGCCGAAAGTCGCGGTTGCTGCACGCGACCGCGCTGTACGCCGGCGGGTACGCGGCTTTCTGCGGCACAAACTCGAGGTACGGCGCATCCTCGACGGCGCATAGACCGCCGCGCAACATGACGTGCTCGAGCTCCGCGAGCGACAGCATGAGTTTCTGGACGCCGACCTCGTACATGACTTGGTGCATGCACACGCTCGTGGGCTCGGGGATCGCGAGGTGCAGATGCATGAGCAGCACTTGGTATGCGTTCAAGTAGAACGCAAGTTTGTGCTCGGAGGACTCGAGGAGGCTCAAGTCCACGCACCGGAGCTCTTGCACCGCAAGCTGGAAGGCGAGCTTGTGCGCCCGCGTGCGCGCACTCCAGACGCGTGCACCGGCGACGACGGCGGCCTCTGCCACAAGACACGGATCGACCGAGACGATGGTCGTCGCCACGTCGTAAGCGATCTTGCGCGAGTTGAGCACGAGGTACCCTTCGTACGTGAGTGCGTTGAACGGCGTCCACGCAGTCATCTGCAGCGCCGCGGCACATGTGCGCAGCGGACTCCGGTCGCAGAGGTCTTGGATCGCGACCTGCCACGAGAGAGGGTCCGGGACGTGCACGTACAGCACTTCGGTCCACGTATGGAGCTCGAGCACGAAGAGGTCGTTGAGGTAGCGACAGCCGACGTGCGTCATGTGGCTAATTGGCACCTTTCGGAGCGGCGACGACGCGTAGGTGCGGTAAAACTGCAGCGACGTCGACGTCAAGATGAGGTACTCTTGGCGCAAGCACGTGTCGCTCAGGATACGGTACCCGCTCCCTTCCTTGCAGACGTTCATACCGGCTCGTCGCCACGGCCAGAGGCTCACGCCGAGGGCCTTGTCCGAGTTGGCGGCCGCGAGCGTCATCGGGCTCGGCGTCGTGAGCCAGTGGTAGAGCTCGGCCTTGGCGGCTGCGGTGCCGCCGTACGCAATGCTCTGGAGGCGTCGACCTACCTCGAGCGCTTGGTCTTCAATCGCAGCGTACGCGTCCATGCGCGCGCGCGTCAGCAGCGGTGACGCGTCGTGGTTGGCAGCGAAGATGGCCAATACGGCCTCGGACGGCAAGATGACCGTGTAGACCTTGGAGTCGGCGAGGCGCACGCGCAGCACGTAGGCAAGATGGCGCATGTCCGTCGTCGCATCAAAGTACTCGAGCCACATCCACAGGTCAAACTCGACGCCCGCAAACGACGTGTCGTGCACCGGGCAGCAGTCGCCCGACGCTGGCGCTGCCTTCGGTGCCGGGCCGCGGGCAACGTCCCATGCAAAGCAGTACTCCTTGGTAATGTGCGCGACCTCGTTTGGCCGCGGCGTGTGCTCGTACATGCTGAGGCGCAGCGACATGTCGCCGAAAAAGTGCTGCAAGCCCACGTCATGGATGCCCGGAAGGTTCACGAGGTTCCACGACGGCAAGTCGACGTACATGGTGTGGAACTGGAACGAGTAGATCCTATCGGTGCGGAAGACCTCGTCGCCAACGGGCGTTGCCTTGCGCGCCTTCTGGTCTGCTGGCGACTCGCCCCAGCTGTCCATGCCAAGCTTTGGCGGCACGTCCTCGAGTGGCGTCGCCACGAGTTGATCTGCGCTCTGGTACAGCGGCAGTGCGACATGCGGTGACTCGATGTCATCGCCAAACGAGAAGTGAAGCTTGCCGATGAGTGTCTTGACCGACGCTATGATCATGCCCGCCCACGCCTTGGTCCACATGCTTAGCACCATCGTGCGTGGCAGCTCGCCGGCGAGGTACACGGTGCCTTTGGGCTCGCGCTTGAACTGGCCTTGGACCATGACCCACACACGTCGTTGCTTGCCTTCAAAGAGCGGGTCCCAGCGTGGATCGCCGCGCGGGTCGCGCAGCAAGACGTACGCCTTGCCGTGGAAGAGCGGTGTCTCGATCGGGATTGGCAGCTGCGTGTTAAAGTCGATCGACGACACCGGGTTGAGCGCATCGCGAAGCGTGAGCCCGCAGCCAAAGATGTCGTTGGCGTGCTGACCATCGACCATCGGTTCCATACGGTCGTGGTCCGACGCATTGGCAAGCTTGCTGCTCGTCGGTGTTCCACCATGAAGCTTGCGCATGTGTCGTAGCCAGAGCGCGGCCACAAACATGATTGAGCCGACCATGCAAGTCGCCTGCGTCGTGCTCCATAGCAGAGAGGGTGCAAGGCCCATCGTGTCCGAGCTGCTCATGGTGATTCGAATTTGTGAATGAAATGGGATCAAAGCCAGCCCAAAATGGAACCAAGTTCAAGGTACCTTTTGATTGGTCAAAAGGCGAGCATGCGCCAGTCGCAGTGACCAATCCGCGTCGTCGTCGACGTTTCAGCGATCTCCGACGCGCGGTTTAAACAGATTGCAGAAATTTAATAGCCAACCATACAAACGCAGGTGATAGCAGATGCTTTTTGCAATGAATTGTTGGCTGGTCACAGCGTTTTACGACAATCCACGACCACAGCACGCCACGTGCTAGGCTTTAACGCAGGTAAAACGCGTTCAAGCGCGCGTTCGATCTTTCCAAGATTTCTGCCATGCCACGCCATGGGTGGCCAGCTGGGTGGCCGTAGCTCATAGAGCGTGGCTACTCGCTCGTAGTAAAAGTAGCTACTCGGCGGCAGTCTCGAAAAAGGTTGATGTGTCGGCCACGGCTCCAACTGCAAGCCCGGCTGACTCCAGGGTCGTGGCGGAGATTGCGCGTTGGAACAAATGTGCCCATCGATGCGCCGAGGTGTGAAGCCATGGACGCTACATAGCTATGCCACACGCCCCACTTGCCAGGTCGCACTATTTACATGCTGGGCACGCTTGCGTGATAGACAAATAGGTAGCGTTCGAAAAAACGTCGTTCTTGAACTGGTAGCCAGCCGATGCGACCGACACCATGCGTCTCGTGCGTCTCAAGCTTCGAAGCGCAGGAAAACGAGTGGCCACGAATCATCATCCCGCTCCGACCCAAACGCCGTCGACTGCTTTGCAGCAAAGGTAATCAAATGAACCGGACGTTGACTGCAGCGTCGTCGCCGATGGTGGCGTGGATATCACGTGGCATACGACCCAGAAAGAAATCAGTCACCTCCGTTGATGACACGGCTTGCAGACGTTTGCGTACACTAGCACCAAAATCGACACCGCTATGGATGATGCATCATGCCTCTCGAGTCAAACACGCTGTCCAAGTGGGCGGGCTATCGATCACGCGTGCTTGCCGCACGAACCAGCCACCTGATTCTTTGAGAGGCAGTTGCCCACTCGTACATCCCAACGACTACGAGGAATCCATGGCGCTAATGTTCCTGTTGCTCAAAGAGCGAGCAACACACAAGTCACGACAGGCGTATTGGTCCTCTACGCTTATCGACAAGATATGCGAGGTCTTGCGGATGGATCACTGGATTCGGAGCGTCGTTCCAACAAGTACTATCTCTGCGCCAAGATTCGACCGACCAGAACTGCAGCTTGAACGTATTTCGCTCCAATTTATGAATCACCAACCCGACGCAAGGTTGTTGCCTTGGATTTGGAACGCCCCCTCATGGACTCAAAATGCTGCATATCGCTCTCAGCATCTCACCCGGCGAGGAAAACCGTTGAATGGGAAGCCGTGGGAGGAAGAGGTGCATTGCCCGGCTCGACGGGCTGTGGGATGCCACGACGAGCACGCGCTGCTGCGGAACCAGAAGGGGCCAAGTGGCAGCGCAACGGATCAAGATATCCGGACATCCGGATACAATATATTATCCGGACAAACCGTTTCACCGGATCTTGGCAGTCGACGATCAGCGGTGCCAGGACGATGCGACGGCGCCAGACGGGCGAGTCCCGCCACCATGCGTTGGTAATCGACACGGAGCTTGCGGGGAGCGTCATGAGCACCCCTCCCCCGACGAAGCCCCATGAGGATGCGAAGGGGCGTCGGCTGACCATGCATGGGGCGCTGGACGAGGCAGGGTTCCCCCGTGGTCATGCTGGAGACGACGACTACCTCAAGTATGGCATGACGGTTGCCTTCCTCTCCACGGAGCGCAATGGGATGCTGGCCTCGGAAGGCTTTGCGTCCGTGGACGTGCGGCTCGAGCACATGGTACCCGAGGCCAAGCACAACATGAAGCGCCGATCGGGGCAGCTCGTCGCATGCCACTACAAGGACTGTCTCTTCGAGGTACCCAACCCATCAAGGTTCAAGCTTGCGATTGACGTGGATGCGTGTAGATTGTTCCCAAGATGAGCTACGAAGCGACGTCCGCGTTCGAGCAGGCCAAGGCCACGACGAAAGGCGGTTCCGCAAGCTTCTCGACTGTCTTTTCCGAGCTCAAGTTCAAGAGCGAATCCGAGCAGCGCTTGAACGCGTCAACTTACACCAAGTTGTTTGGAAAGCGCGTCAACTATGGCCAGGTAGCTACACAGTAACAACTATCCACACTATGTGTCTGGCTCTAGACCATCCAGCTGCGCCACATCAAGTCGGACAAATTCATCTGCGCGCACGACCTCGCAACACCTACTGTGGATACGGCAGAGGTGACTATATTGAGCGTATGACAGAGATTGCTTGAGCTGTGTAGATTTCACTACAACGAGGCTCGGCGGAGGCCCATCTCACCTTTGTGCCACGCTACAAGCTGCGCAAGTCGGGCGAACCAGTTCAGATCCTGGACCAAGTACAACACGCTGTTCTCTCCTGGCCCGTTTTATTCCTCATGCGCACGTAGTTTTACGTGGTGCGCGATGTGAAGCGGCTGTATGTGCATACGTCGAGCCGTCTCGCCTCAGATGGGGTGTCGTCGCTCATGGTGGCGTCCAAGTCCCACTCGTCGCCATGGCGACTACTTCCGTACGAGTCGACAGCAGAGCAAGCACCCAACAAGGACGTCGAGTCAGCGGCTGTGCTAAAAGCCGGCGCGTGCGTTCGTCTACTGCACTTGGAGACAAGCGCGTGGCTCGGCAGTGACGACGACGCTTCGCAAGTGCGTCTTCAGTCTGAAATGCCCGGAATGGACCCTCTTGAGGCCGCAGCCGTGGTGCGTGTAGGCATAGCTGTTGAAATTGTGTTTATGAAATGACGTAGATGCTACCAAACACGCTGTGGGAAGTCGAGCGAAGCTACACGAGCGACGGGGGGTCGCTTTGCTGGTCAGATACCATCGCGCTGCGGCACCTCGTATCGGGCAAGTACATGACGATGGATGCGGCCTCTGCGACAATTGGGATGGACCACCAGCCTCAGGCGTTTATGTTCCAAGCAACCATGAATGTCCACCCACGGTTTGTATACTACCGCCATATTTGTGCTCATGTAGCATTGTAGTTGCCGTATCTCACGAGACGCCGTCGCGCTGCTGCAGCAAGTTCAATGCAAGCGCTACTTGCACCCAAGCGACGTTGCAACGGTCGAAAACCTCGCTGACGTCAAGTGCGATCCAAGCCTGATCGACATTGGCGCTCTATCCGCGCCGCACGACGAGGATGCTTTCCAAATTGTGCCCGTCTCAGCATTGGATACAAACGACACGCTGCTTCTTGTCTCGTACCGCCGTATCTTGCATCAGTTTATCTCTGCGTTTCAAGCTGCACCTGGCGTACCTCGCTCTCCTCGACACACCGCGTCTCCAAACGCTAGTACGGGTCTCGCGGCTCTCTTACCACGCGTTGAAGCTGCTCTATTGGCTTTGAACCAGTTTGCAAAGGAAACCAACGATGACGTACGGCGACCTCTCTTGCTTCGTCGCAATCACTACGTGGAGCTTTTGACGTCGGTCATTAAGGCCCCGTTTTCTCCGTACGGCGGCCCGTACTCGATCGACGATGTGTGCTCGTTCAACTTTGCGTCGCACTCGCTCTTTGACCGGATGCAGAGCAACCTTTCCACGACGTTGGATGGCCTCGACGACGAAGACGACGACGGCGCTGGCGATCGCCGCGGGCGTCATGGCAAGGTTGCCGTGTCGCTGCCGGCCGCCTACCAACTGAGCGATGAGTCGATGCAAACCCTCAATCGTATCATTTGCACTGTCAACATGCTCCTGTTCCGTATCTTTTCCCGGGTCAAGACGTGGGACGATGCATCGGCGTGCCGGGACGCGATGCCAGTGCTGATGGAGCTCCTCGGGCATGGCTTCAAGGCGTCGGTCCCGCTCTCGTTCCTAATCCAAGAAAAGTGGCACGTGTCCGAGTCTGTCGCGTCCTACTCGCACACACTTCGGAGCTTCATTGACCTCATCAAGACGCGCGGCAAGTCGATTCGATACCTCCAATTTCTCGTCGTGCTCTGCAGCGCCAACGGCCACGCCGTCGCCAAGATTCAAGAAAAGCTGTGCGAGCTTCTCTTCGACACAGAGGACAGCGCAGCGCTCTTGGTACCGACACAGCCTACCGGCCACGGCTTTAAAATTTGCATCCCCGCCAAACCGTCTGGCGAGCGCTGGGTCGACCTTGACGTCTTCTACAACGAGTACTACGACAGCAAACGCCATACGACGCTGGCGCCATACTACTACGGCCTACTACAGCTCTATTGTGCGCTGTGCATGGACCGCAACTATGTGTGCATCCAGCGTCTCCGGGCCATCTTTCCCCGCGCCAATTTGCTCGAAACGGTCCAGGATGCAGGGTTGTCACGGTCCATGCGCGCCGTCTTGCTTAACTTGCTCGTGGTGCTTCACGTCGACTGCGAGCCGCAGACAGTACTCCCGAGTCCACGCTACACACGCATTTGGAAGAACGCGGTCGTCGAAGTTCCATCGAATGCTCTTCACGGCGCAGACGGCGAATTTTTTGGCGACCTCAAGACGGTGCTTTTGCGCTACTTTAGGAAGCACCGCGGCGTCATCGTCATTGTCGAGTACCCGCAAAATGAACTCACGCTGGCGATGGTCCGGGCGACGCAAAAACTCGTGGTGTTCGGCATGTTTAGCAGCGATCTGCGCCATCTGGTGCCCCTCCTTGTCGATCTCTTGGACAGTCGGACAGACTTGGTCGAGGCCCATCGCCCCGCAACGAGCACGACAGTCCCCGAGTACTCGGTGCCGTTTTTCGAGAACAGCGTCCAGCGGCAAAAACACCCCGCGTACCGCCAGTACAGCGTGCATGACACCGAGGTCCAGCCGATGCTTCCGTCGCACGAGCCGTCGTCGCCCTGTGACGTCCAAACGCCATCGTCCGGCTGGCACGCGGCCTACAAAAAGGCCAAGAAGGAGCTACATCGCTTCTCCGCGCTCAGCGCAAAGTCATCTTCGTCATCCCTCCGACGGCTCCCCGACTCGAAGTACACGATGAGCGAGTGGAACAAGGTTGTCATGGACATCAAGGAGAGCATTTGCGCGACCTTACTGTGCATCGATACGTTTCGACTCGACTATCAACTTTCCAGCGTGCTCTACACCCTCCACAGTACGGCGAAACGATGCTCGTCGTCACCACTCGCATCATCTCTGTGGGGAGCGAGCAGCAAGCGTGGTACGCCATTGACGTTTGCGATGCAAAACGACTCACTGGAGTGTATCTACTCGCTTCATGTTCTCGCGGGAAGACGCCTTGACACGGTCTTGCTGCAAGCGCTCATGTACGAGCACCCGCCGCTGGTCTCGAAAGCACTCGAGCTCTACATGCAGCAGTTCAACCAGCACGACCAGCTCATGAAAGCGCTTTCAAGCACGCTCGTCATTGCGGACGATGCCACCGTCCAAATGTACGCGCGGTTGCAAGCCCACGTCAACGATCTGCGACGGCTTGCTGAGACGACCGAGGTCTGGATGGACTTGACGTCAGACGCCGATTTTTCGACGGCGAGCAAGGCGTGCGCGACGCTCCGAGCGATCCTCGATGCGTTCAACTCCAAGGAGTCGCATCGTGCCGTCATTCACCGTATTTTGCGCAACATCCAAGCGATCGACCATGTCATCGCGATGGTTTCAGCTGGGAGCCATTTTTTCCACGCACTATTTCCCTCCAAAGTGCGACGCGGTGCGAGTGGGTGTGGACCCACGCAGCGGTATCGGTCCACCATGAACGTTCCCGAAACTGTGCTCGAAGAGAGACAACGCAGCGCGCTTTACGCCGTCTACTCGCACTGCACCGAGTTCCTCGGCCACATTTGTCAGCACCCCGAGAACGCACCACTCATGGACGCGCACGCAGACACGCTCTTGGATTTTGCAGAAGCACTACCAGCCGCGCAAGATGCACTCTGTGGTCTCTACCTCAGAGGCCGCACCGATGCAACCCCGAAAGCGGTCATTGCGTGGTTTGTGCGATGGACCGTCGCGTACAAAACCGACGGCGAAGCACGGTTTCTCGAGTTCTTGCGGTGCTTGGCCGCTCGCCCGCGCGATCGAGCAACGATCCTTCAGCAGCTACAGCAATACCCGAGCATTTACCATGACTTGACGAACGGTCGCCACGCCAAGTACGTTGCCGCCGTCTTGAACCTTCTCGCCGCTTGTGCACCGAGGGCCGAAGCCAACGACACATGTCGTGTGGAGTTTCTGTCGCTTGACGAGTGGCTCGCAGTCTTGGAAACCGGCCTCGCGGCGCACGAGTGGGCATTGGGACTCGCGTGCCTTCGGTTCTTCAAGGACGTCATTTTGGCCCAGGACGACGTTTTCGATGGCGTTCCGGCGTCGTTGCACCTACGCATCTTGCAGCGTGTGAGCGACCTGACGACCAAGTGTACAGTATCATTCATGTGATTTCGAAAGCTACAACTCAAAAATCTTTGTAGGTATCCGATTGGATCTTCTGGCGCTCCAGCAGGTCGATCTGCAGCTGGCGGCACCCACAGCGTCGCGATACACCCTCGATGCGATCATGCTCGTTCTTGTGCCGGCCCTGGATGCCTACCTGCCACGTATCATGGGCATTGTCAAGCCAAAAGCCGATGAGTGGCGCGAGTGGCTCGCAGCGTGGTATCTCTGGCTTTTTGGTGCATGGGTGCCAGCGGACGCTCGGAGCAAGGACGAACTGCACAACTGCCTTCAGTACATTGAAGTGCTTTGGGCGACAGAGATGCTTAGCGACCTGTGGTGCGATGTTTTGGAGCGCAGCGAACGCCCTCGGCTGGACCCGGGTCTTGGTGGGCTCCGCAGCAACGCGCCATTTGTGCTCGACCTTGACAGCACCACCTTCGCAGACCTCTTGATCGAAGCTCAAGCGTATCACGCTTTCTTGAAGCATGAACCCAAGTCGTCAGCAACTGCCGTCGCTTCGTCACGTCAGCTCCCGACGTTGCAGGCGCCGCGGGCGTCGGCGCTCCATGACTTTGTCACGGCGACTGACATGTCAGAGAAGCTGCCGTCGCTGAACATTGCGTTACTTGAAGCCAAACCGTCCTGGGTACGCAAGGTTCAGACCAAGTACGGATGGGAGCTTGAAATGTCCGACGGCGTGGCCCACGGTCACAAATTAAAAAGCAACGCATACCGCATGCCCAGGGGCAGCGACAGTGCCGACGAAGATAGCGCGATCGTGCAAGACTTTGTCCTCTACTTGCGCCGTCACCATCGCATCAAGATCGCCGTGCGTGACGAGCTGAGTCACATGATGCGCAACATTGTGTCCGTACAGGTGATGCCGCCCACGTCATGGACCCGCAAAATGTTCTTGTGCAAATTAGGTGCAACTCAAAGCGGAGAGCCAAACAGCTCCGACGCTACCGCTCATTGCACTCACGTTTGACGACATTGTGGCCAAGCTAGTGTCCCACTTCAAGGTAGGGCGGTATTCTAGATGCCTTTGGTGCAATCATTGCATTCGGCGATGTAGATGCTCAAGTACCCGAAGCACATCAAGATGTCGCTGACGCTACTGGAGGTCTTTATCCAAATGATCACGTCGGTCGATACGCCGGGAAGCCGAAACGCGATGCAAGCCAAACTCGACACGCTCGGCGCTACGGAGCTTGTTGTGGACCTCGTTAGCACTACGGACGACCAAGCCGTACAGGACAAGGCGATCGAACTCGGCATTGCCCTCCTCAACGGCATGAATGCTAAGGTCCAAGAACACTTTTACGCAATTTGGATCGAGAGTGCCAACACCGACTTTTTTCAGCGGCTTCAAAGCCGTCTCGAGGCAGCAATGACGCACGACAACATGACGCAAGAGCTTCGCTTGACGCCGAGACGTCCGAAGAGCCCGCTAAAAGCGCCGAGCCATGAAGGCGCCTCCAAGTACGAGGCCATGACGCGGCTGCTTCGGTTCCTCCAGCTGCTCTGCGAGGGCCACTACCTCGACGCCCAGCGCTACTTGATTGCGCAGCGAACATCGTCACACAACTTGGTGTCCGCGACGGTCGCGTACCTCTTGGACGTGTCGGGCGCTCTCTCGGCCGAGACGTTGGTCGTGTACAAGCAAGTCTTTGACACGATTACGGAGTGTTGCCAGGTGCGATGGATTGATTTGCAGGTTCTTTCCAACTTAGTGGCATTTAGGGTCCGTGCCACGAAGCCCAAGAGACAGTGGCGACCTACGCCTTCGTGTCGACAATCAACGAGCTCATGCTCTTTTCATCCAAGCCAACACATCACATGTCGGACGCGTCGCTCGTGCTGTATCGCGATCTCAAGGCGTCGATCGTCATTTCGCTTCTGAGTCTCTTGGAAGGTCGCCACGACCGTCAAATTCATGACCGCCTCGTCCAAGAACTCAACTTTGATGCGCTCAAAGACAACGTCGTCGACGTCTTTCATTACTTTGAGCACCGTTACAACGTACGATTATGACACCAAGTCCTTGTCGGCGCTACATATGTACATTGTAGGGTGAATACGATGGCAACGAGCGCTGCAGCCACGACGCATACCTTGGCATGGGCTTCAACCTGCACATCCTGATGCAGCAGCTCATCGAACACCAGCCGTCGATCGCAGAAGCGCTGCAACCACGCGCGACCAAGGTCACCAAGCACAAAAGCGCCAAGGATGCATCCTACGAGAAGGCCTATCGCTTCTTCCACAAACGCTGCGCGCGCGTCGAGATCGTATGGCCCATCGTCGGAGGCAGCGACACGGTACCGCCGCTCATCGCCGTGCACTTTCCGATCCACCCGATTTGCGTATGTGTCACCGACGCGACGCGCCAGCGGCTTTTCCAAGACGTCTCGCGCGATGCCAACAAGCTGTACGATTTCTACGTCAAGACGCACGTGGTGCTCGAAGAGATGGAGCACCAATGCACGCTCCGTCAAAACCACTTGAAAGCCGTCCTCTCCAAGAATGCGTCGCAAATCAAGTTGCTCACGTTTATCTGGTCGCTGCTCTTGAACCTCGTCGTTTTGACCAACTATGCGCTGGTGACGGTCTGGTACTTTATGGGCTGCATCCACGTCTTGCTCACGGTCGTCCTCCTCTTCATGTACTGGACCAACTCGGTGCCGCTGCTGCTCCAGCGACGTGCGACTCAATATGCGTACGAAGAAGCGCCGTCCATGCGTGTGGACGACAAGAAGACACTGCAAGACGTCGAGCGGCTCGTGCGATGCGTCGGCAGTGACATCAAGGTCCAACCGCTCTCGCGAGTCGAGACAGTCTACGTGCTCTTGACTGACGGTCGCTTGTGGTATCGCGGCCTGCTCGTGTGCGCTGCGATTGCAGGTGTCTTGATCGAGCCGCTCTTCTTTTCGTTTCACCTTGTCGACTTTATCAACCGATCGCAGGTACCGTCATGCTCGATCATTTTCGGAGGTTGAACGAGTGCGTTATAGGAGCTTCGGGATGTCTTGCGGGCGGTCGTCGTCCCTGGAAAGACGCTGCTGCACATCGTCGTCTTTTACCTTCTCCTCGTCTACGTGTTTGCTGTGGTTGCGTACACGTACTTTCCCGGCGACTTCAAGGTCGACGCCAATACCAACGGCTGCGAGACTGTGTGGGAGTGCTACCTCACAAGTCTGGACCAAGGCTTCAAGAACGACGGCGGCCTCGGCGCGTACCTTCCGAACCATCGCCGCGGCAGCGACTCGCTCGGCTACATCCGGTTCTTCTACGACCTTGCGTACAACATCGTCTTGATCATCGTGCTCATCAACCTCACGTTCGGCGTCATCATCGACACGTTCGCGTCCCTGCGCACGTCGCACAAGGAGCAGCTGGACGAGAACCGGGACCGGTGCTTTGTGTGCTCGATCGACGGGTACACGTTCAATCGACTAACGCGCCGCGGCTTCGAGTACCACACGACCACCGAACACAACGTGTGGCACTACATCTATCTCTTTGCGCATATCCGCAAAAAGCCCTTCACCGAGTACAACGGCGTCGAGCTCTACTTGGCGCTCAAGATGGCGCGCGGCGACGTCTCTTTTTCCCAAGTCACCGCGCCCTCTCCCTCGAGAAGCTCGCGACATCCACGCCGACGCCCAGCCACGACTCAACGCACGACGCCTTGCTGCGCGTCGAGGCCCAGCTCGCTCGCCTGCTTCAAGCCCACGCGACGCTCGACGCCAAATGCGACGCGACCACGCGCCGACTCGACGAGTGGATGGCCAAGCCAGTCTCGCCCACGATGCACTCGGCGACGGCAAATACTGTCTTCTTCCCGGAGACCGACCAGGACGACGCTCCGTCTGCCGACGAATGATGCGCCCGTGCATTTTAACACAAAATCATGCTGTGATGCCCCAGACTCGGGCGTAATGCCCCTAGACTGGAACGTCAAGCGGCCTAGACGCGATAGTCGGTGGCGGGGGTCACGTTGGCCGCTTGCTGTCGGCGCTTGACCGTCGCTGGCAAGTCGAGCTGGAAGAACTCGTGGAGACCGCGCTCGTCACGGCTGTGCGCGATTGCGTCTTTGATCGCAAAGTAGATCGAGTTGGCGAGCTGGAACGGCGGCTCGCCGACCGCTTTCGAGCTCATGATGCCTTGTTCGTTCTCCGACTTGTCGAGAAGCGTCACGTGGAGCTGCTGCGGGATATCTTTGGTCGACGGGATCTTGTACTCCCACGTGCCCGACGAGAGCAGGACGCCGTGTGGGTCGTAGAGCACTTCTTCCTGGAAGAAGAAGCCGAGCGCCATCACCAACGCGCCTTCGATCTGGCCAATGTCGATCGCAGGATTCAACGACACGCCGCAGTCGTACATGATATCCGTGCGCACGAGCGACACTTCGCCCGTGAGAACGTCGACTTCCACCTACGCGCGACGCTTCGTACCTCCATCTCGGGCGAATCGAGCGCACCTCGGACGCCGCGGCTGCGTACACAAAGTAGTCGAACGTCTCGTTGCTGGTCGTGCGCGGCTGCGCGGACGCTGCGAGGTGAACGCCCTCGTCATGGGCGAGGGCCACGAGTGCCGCCCAGTCCTGGACGTCGGGATGCGCCGCGCGAATTGGTGCGAGACGGGCGTTGAGCGTCTTGCAGGCCGCACTAGACGTGCAACATAAGCCAAAGACAAGTTGATCGCGTGGAGCGTACCGCACGGAGCGCGCGATCGACTCGGACGTGCTCGAGCCGCCGGTCGCGTCGCTGTTGGGCACGAGGTCCGTGCTCGTGGCCCGCACGCGCACCATGTGGAGCGGAAGGCCAAGGGCGTAGGCCGCCATTTGTGCAGCCTTGGTATCAATACCCTAAACGCAGTGCGCATGAGCTAGTAGGACCCAAATCAGCGCTAGACAACTTGTCCGATTTCGCAGCCGCCTACAACGAGGTGCTTTAGCACACAACGCAACGTGCTTCCATGTACCGTGGGTGACGAGCACAGTGCCATCGCCGCTAAAGATCGAGACACTCGCGCCGTACTTGAGGCCCGAGATGCCCATGCCGTACTTGACCGGCGTCATTGAGAGACCCTTCTTCTTCCAGCGATTGTTGGCGTTGAAGTACGCGACCTTTTCCTTGCGCCGGAGCACGTCGGCGCTGTCCCGGAGCCGGTCCCAAATACGTGGCAGCGTCACGTTCGAGAGCACTTGGCCGTACGGTGTCGTGAGGCCATCTAGACGCCTCCAGTTGCCCAGCGGGACGCATCGAGGATCGCGTACCGTGCAGCATGTTGCGGGCTTGGATCCAGCCCACAGGTTTCTGGAGCGTCGCCGCGATGTGGTGCACGACGATCTCAAGCAGCAGCGTCGTGTTGGGCACGCCGGGCGCCCGCACCGACGTGCACGTTGGCGTATTCGTCATGTAGAGATAGGCCTCGCACCTATGACAAACCGACGTCATCGCCGTCGTGAACATGGAGGCGGACGCACCGCATGTGGGGAATGAAGTAGGCGCCATCTGCCCACATGACGGCCATCGTGATGTCGCCCATGTTGTCGCTACACAAGTCTGGTGCATTTTTCGAGGTGATGGACATGTACCCTGCGTAGCCGCCGAGCGCACAGTGCAGCTGCACGTCGAGCGCGGTGATGCGTCCCGCGTCATCGAACCCGACCGTGTACTCGCCCACCATGGCCTCGCGACCGGCAATCATCTGAAAGTCCGTGTTGCGGTCGTTGACGACTTGGACGGGCTACGCACATCCGATGCCAACTCTTGAACAACGACGGCGGACATCGTACCACGCCCAGCTTGGAGGCTGCGACAGCGGCCGCGCCCGCATTGAGGATGTTGCGACTGAGTTTGCCGCCAAAGCCGCCGCCTGCGCGCTTCATTTCAATCGTAACCGCGTGCTGGGGCACGTTCAGCAGTAACGCGACGCGCTTCTGCACGAAGGAAGGATTTTGACACGACGCGTGCAGCACCATTGCGTCGTCTTCGCCCGGATGCGCCGATGTTGCTAAGCGACACAGCAGGTCGTTTGACGCGACGCAAAACGCAGAACTCCTACCTTGGGGCTCCATGTACATGTGGCGCTGCGAGCCCATGTCGACGGATCCAGAGAGTATGTGTGGGGCGCGCTCCAACTTTTGCGCAATATTGTCGTCGCTGCCACTCATTTGGATCGGGTTGGGCGTCGCGGGCGTCGGTCGCACGAGCGTTTGCGCCGCCCGCGCCTGCGCCACCGTGATCACCGGCGCGTCCACTTTCCAAAAGGGATCGTTGACCAGTGGCGCATACGTCACGCGCACGCACGCCGCCGCATGTTGCGCAATCGATGCTGATGTGGCGACGACGAGGCCGAGAGGCGCGCCGACGTACAGCGCCGGTCCCCGCGTCGGCACGAAGAGAGGTTCGTTGCCGTCGCCCGTCGCGTTCTCGCCCGGCACGTCGTCGGCCGTCACGACGTCGACAACACCGGGAATGGCCAGCGCCGGCCCTGCGTCGATATGCACCACGCGCTGAAGGGCCTTGGTCGCGTACACGTAGGCGCCGTAGAGCATGCCTGGCGGCGGCGCCAAATCCGCGACAAAGCGCGCTTCCCCCGTCGCCAAGAGCTACAGACATGTCCCGTGGCGCGTGGCTGGAAGAGCAAAGTGATACCTTGGACGCAAGCTTTGGAATCGGCTCACCCACCGGCGCCGTCGATTTGTGCACTGGAAACGACTGGGTGCCCGACGAGACGGCCCGGGGCATCTCGGGCACGGCCGACGCTAACGTCTTGGACGAGAGCGTCGGCAGTGCGTGGAGCCACGACTTGTACCAAAACGCTTGCAACACCGACCTACCGAAAGCGCTAAGATCTCAGAGCGATGAGCTTTTTTGCGTACGCTTCGAACGAGTCGCGGTGCGCGGCCGTGTCTTTCAAAAGGATCGACAACGACGCGTGCAAGTGGTCTTCCGAGAGCACCTTGTCTCGCACAAAGGCTTGGGTCTCGGTGCACTGCACGACGCGACCCACGGCGGTGCCAAAGACGACGGTCGCACGCTGGACGACATGATCCCCGTTGGTCACGAGCAGCACGGCGCCGTTGACGTGCGAGTGCGCGTTGACTGCGCGCTGGGCGACCTTGTGGCAGAGAAACGTCACGGGGTGCGCCAAAATTGGCAGCGTCATCGCGACCAAAACAATGGTATCTTGCTTTGGGAGGGCGAGGTACTCGAGCACCGAGAGCGTCTGGATGGCGCCGTTGACCTGCGCGTCGAGGGTGGCACCAATCCCTGCAAGGCCCACGACCAAATCGGACGGAAACGACGGGTACGTCCGCGCGAGTGCGAGGTTGCCGGCCCACGTGGCCGCGTTGCGCACTTGGTTGTTGGCGATGCGGCGAATGTGCATGGCGAGCACGTGCAGCGGGTCCGAGTCGACGATCGAGAGCTTCAGCAGCAGCTCGTTGAGTGTTACGGCGGCGCCGACGACGACGCTATTCTCGAGCACGCTCATAGTTTTCAAGGCTGGAACGTGCGTAATGTCGACAAGGACAGGCGAAAACTCGACGTGTCGGTACGGCGCGCTGCTGTTCAAGTACTTGGCCACGCCCCGTGACGTGAGGCCGCCCACGAGCATGACGTCTTGCTTGGGATGCAGCGTGTGCACCTCCGCTAGTTGCTCGAGTGTCAGCACACGGTACCACGTGCGGTCTCCGTCGGCAAAGCACAGCGGCACGGGCGTGTAGTCGGCAATGAACGGTGGCGGCGGCGCCTGCGACGCCCGGTCAAACGTCACATCGGGTCGCAAGTCCTCCATGTCGAGTACTCCATTGCTGTTGGCCTTGTGCGGGCAGTCGGCGCAGGACGTGTTGCATCCCTTTGCCGCACGCGTCGACTCGGAACGATCGCAAGCAGGATCGAGAAACTCGTAGTCGTCTTCACCGCTGTATGCATCGTCGTTCTCGTCTTCGTACGCTAGGCTCTTGGAACCAAACGAGTGCATGGTCGCGAGAATCGGCCGGTACCCCGTGCAGCGGCAGAGGTTGCCGTCAAAGTGGTCTTCAATCGCAGCCTGCGTCGGCGATTCGTTGGTTTGGAGCAGCTCGACCATGTTCATGACCCAGCCCGGCGTGCAGTACCCGCATTGCATGCCCGACTTTTCAACGAGCGTCTTTTGCACTTGGTGGAGGCCTGTCTTGGTGCTGCCGACGCCCTCAACCGTGAGCACTTCCATGCCGTCGACGGCAGCGAGCGGCATCAAGCACGCGTTGACGGCGCGCGTCACGAGCTGCGACGATGTCACGCTTTGATGACGAAGCACGACGGTGCACGCGCCGCAGCCGCCCTCGCCGCACGCGACTTTGGTGCCTGTGAGCCGCGCGACGTTCCGGATGTAGTCGACGAGCCGCAGCTGGCCGACGCTACCTTCCTGCAGCACAACTTTAGTGCCATTGAGCGCAAACGTGAGCTCGCGCGTCCACGCCGTCGGTGGCATCTTGTCCGCAACGGCAATCTCGGAAAGTGCAAGTTGAACTTGTGCACTTTTGTATCAACGAGTTTGTATACCATAGAAAAAACGAGATACTTGCCAGCCGCGCGAACGTCCGGGAAGGTGCCGTGCGCGACTCAGACGCTGGCCAAGCACCCGTACCGTACGCATCGAGCCGTGGCTGGCTCACCAGCGCCCAGCGCATGCGAACCTAGCTCCATCTTTGCGGGCTAAGATATAATACTATAAGCACGCTATGCCACGTCGTGGGTGGGTACCTTGTGTGAGCTCTAATCTGCCTTAGCCGAGCTGGCTAAAGCCCGGTACCACCTCGATGACATGTCCAAACGTCGGGCCATCAATGGACTGTACTCGAGCACGTTGTTGTGTTGGTCAAGTGCTGATGACGGTTTTAAACGATCTTTGGCGGGCGCGGTAGCATGGTGCGCCAACAACAGCGTCGATGCATTGGCAGTATGAGCTATGTCGTGCATAGAGCTACGTGGGCGAGACAAAGGACCGGCTGCGGCATGGCCAAGGCACGTACACGTTCCCGGGCGGCTACTTCAAGTACACGGGGACCTGGTCCCGCGGCAAGATGCACGGCCATGGCATCTTCTTTCTCGGCGATGGCAGCACGTACGAAGGTGCTTTTGAGCAGGGCGAGATGTCTGGTACGGGGCTGCGGCGCTGGCCTGACGGGTCGACGTACGCGGGCAGCTTTTGCCTCGGCGAACTCGACGGCCACGGTACAACCACTGCCTCCCCATGGCAATGGCATGGTATTCTGTCGCTTGTAGGCAGCTTTCTCTCGACCAATGGGAAACGCTACGAAGGTGCTTGGCGCGGCAATCAGTACTGCGGTGCGGCATGTCCATCCACGTCATCATCCTAGCCTGAGGTATTAGGCCACGGCGAGCTCTGGGACGTCGACGGTTCCCACTACGTTGGCGACTTTGAAGCCCACAAGTTTCACGGCGAAGGCCGCAAGACGTCGGCGGAACGGTACGAAGAACGAGCTCATCTCTCCGAGGTAGATTCCCCGACGAGAGCACGTACGACGGGTTTTGGGCCAACGGACGTCAAGATGGCCTCGGTACGCACCCAACACTTCCATGTGCACTGCCATCAATTTCTCGCAAGGCTCGTACATGG